ACCCTTAGTCTATGTTGCTCCCTTAATGTCAGAGACCAGGTTTCACACCCATACAGGACCACCGGCAAAATTATAATTTTGCATATTCTCCAGGTCTGAGGCTTCTTGAGAATTTCTGTAATAAGTTTATTTTGTACGGTGAGTTGTTAGCCCCAAGCTGGAGGACCACCCCTTGTCGGCTGTCCGCTACTGCTTATTCAGTATATTCGCAGCTTCCCTCCATATCTGGAGGGCGGGCATGCTGTGGTGATAAGGGACCCAACTAACATGGATTTTATGACAGTCAAATTAAATGATAAACCTGCATTACTTGATATTTGAGAGGTATCCACTTTAAACGGCGTGGCTGTTATGGCTAAAGATATGTCACCTTCCTCAGGACTACCCAAAAAAATGCTTAAAGTAACTTACAAATAGAGACCATAATTGTTTCACATCCTCCTAGCTCACAGTTTTTGTGAGCAATATCTCTGGAAATCAATCAAGATTCATACACTTTTTCATTCAAACCATCAAAGTAGGAAAAATAAATACCAAAAATTAGAATTAGAATTCTGAAAAATTATTGTGTATATATACAAATGATGCAGACCAGTCTTCTGCCACAGTACCTTCCATGGTCCTTGTGGACGAAATTCTCTAATGGCAGGTTCTGTTATGTGTGCCAATGTGATGAATTATTTCATACTAAAATTTGAAAATATTTATTATGCCCTCAAATAATCCATTTGGCTAAAGTTCTGGCTCAGTAGCAGGGAAAGCAGTATTCTGAATTCTTTACAGCTGACATGATGTTGTAGCAGAGGCATATTTATTATTCTGTATGTTGGAGATATATATTTTTTCATATGTTACTGCCTACTTTGTCAATTTTTGTGAGTGAAGTCAAACTGGCATGCTAGTTCAGATCTACTAATCATGATCTGTCATGGGTAAAGCTATCCCTGTAACAGGCCATAGAGGCCCATAGGGTTGTGAGATGTTGAGGCTCCCACATGATGATGAGTTGGTCAGCCTTATGTACTGGCCGCCTTTTACCCCCAGGCAGATTCCTGGTACTGATTTCTGTGAGAGTTTCAGTCGACCCCAGGGCCATAATTGCAGCTGGAAGGATTAGGAATTGGCCCCGCGACCTTCCAGCTTGTAGCACAGTGCTTCAACCAACTATGCTACCACATGCCTCCACTGCTTCTAATTCTACAGTTAATAAATGAAGCGTCTTTGATCACTTTAGAGTCTGATTAAAGCAAATCGAACTGTGCAGTATACAAGTTTATTCACTCTGCCATATCTGTATGAACAAAGCAGGAATCATTTGGCTCAATTCTTCCTGTAATTCAGTTTTAATTTCTATTGTTCTCCTTTTCTTGTATCATACAGAAACTGCAATGTTGTATCCTTTTTGTATCTTCTCTGGAATGGGGTGGGGGTTCCACAGTTCCTCCCCTTGAAGTCACATAGCAGGTTTCCACAAACAAACAAGTTTGGGGTGCAAATGAGGTCAATGTGAACTCCCATACCAACTGAGCAACTTAATTCCAACATGTTAAACCTGCTGCAGATTATCTGTTATAGACTGATGTAACAAAGATTATTTTGTTATAGACTGCTGTAACACAGATGACTGGAGGTCTTATAGCTCTAACTTTTTACAGCATCACATTAGCTGTGTTCTCCATGCCTTACATATTTAAAGCCCATTAAATGTTTACAAAAAAGTAAACGAGGTACACAGCTCATTGAAAACCAGTGCTTCAGAGACCACACAAAACAGCATCTCCCAGACCTCTGTCTGGTTAAATAAAATTGAGAGTAAGAAATCCCAAAGCTTCTGAATGCAACTAATATTTTAGTAGAAACGAGAAGTGAGCCTGAGAAGAAATGTTTTTATTAATAGCACTTACAAGACTGTAGGTTACTGAAGCCATCTGATATTTATTTATATACAGCATTAAAAATAGTCTTGGGATTCAGTCATTATCCCTTGAGTCAAAAAGCTTACATGGGCAATTGTGTCTGAGAAATACTGGGATGCCACTTCAGCATAACCTAGGAGCCTCTTCTATATGTTAATGCATGTACGTATTGTGTTGTGTGCACATGCACATACTGCCTCTGGTCCCCAAACAGTTTTGTAAGAAATTTATTTCTTTAAATTTTTGGGGATTCAGTATATGATCTCAATATTCTGCACGAGGACAGTTCTTGAATACTCTGTAGCTTTGTAGAATTTGAGGTTCTCACAGAGGTAGTCATGAAAACTTCCGTCTTCTAGGGTATTAACGCCTTGTAGTCCAGACTACGCAGGCTTATGGAGGTATATCTAATGGGATATAACACTGCGTAATCCAGACTACATGAACTTATAGCCCAGAAAATAGAACTCTTCACAACCGCCACTGTGAAAACCTCAAATCCTGCATCCTTAAGGGGAGGCTGCTTATCAGTATGTTCAACAACTGGACTAAATGGCATTATATCCCAGAAGATAGAACTCTTCATCTGTAGCTTTCGCTGAAAAATGCAAAATAACGTGGCACCTTTTCAAGCCATGTCTGTAACTTTAGTGCTATGTTCAGGCATTCAAGTAAAGCCTAAATTGAGGCTATGTCTCTAAAATTTCATTACAAGTTTCCAGTACCAGATTTCATCAGAATCAAAGGACTCAGCTGTTGATTGATTAACAGATATATCAAAAGGCATTTAATTTAAGGGATGGAGGTTTTCTGAAGAAAGACACTCACACATTCCACATACTCAGTGAGCAAATAAAATTCACATTAGTGGCCTTCTTCTGTTATTTGTTCATTTATTGTGTGTAGTACTCCACAAAATAAAAAAGCATTCAGTATAAAAGAAATATAATTCAGTTCATGTCTTCACAGCTTACACCCCTCACATGCAGCTAATATTATCTTCCCAGGTCTCTCTTTATGCATTTCTCATTGTAATTCTGAGCCGACCGAATCAGCTTATAGAAAGAAAGGCAGTTACAGTGGCAAACCTGACAATTTAGTGTTTTAAGCCATATATCAGTTCCACTAAATTTCTCTTTTTTTCATTTCTCTGAGTCAGTGATTCATCCCAACTGACATTCCAGGATAACTGGGGGCTCTTTCCACAGCATAAAGTAACCAGGGTGTGAAAATTACTACTGCCACCTAATGTAAAGGTTAAGAGAAACCATGGTGCTATACCTCCATTTCCCTGTGTCTTATGGTGTGGTGCTTAATTAAGGACAAGGACAACTATAACAAGTAACAAAATGAAAATATGCTGCTCTGTTTGTGTCATGTTCACAAATATGGCATATCATGGACTAACCAAAATCCTGTTCCTGAAATCATTAAGTTACAACCGGCTTCAGTTGGTAAAACCACAAGTCCACAAGGCATTCTGTATCACAGAATCGGTGATTGTGCACATGGAAATTAATGACTGATGACTTCAGATGTTTTAGCTGTTTATCTGGCATGCATTGGGAATGGAGTGTGCTAGTTACATGACTCTTGTCAGTTGTATGAGGAAAAACTTACAGAAAGCCAATACAAAGTCAAAACAATGTGATGTTACTTCAGTTCTTGCGTGGGAGTCTTCCTAATTGATATAGTGGATATAGTGAAAGATTTTGGATATACTGTAATGCAATGAGACACTGACCTATTGTCTACTGTAAAGGCACTTGCATTAGGAATGATGGGAAATGTAACCAACAGCAATGGCAGAACTGCTGTAGGGTTAATGTGAATCACAACATTTTTTAGAAGCAACTTCATAAAAATGATTTTCTTTTAAATTTTTTGAGTTGCATGAATATCTGGATATGTGGATAACCAGGAGGTTAATGTATGCTGTAAAAGTTCCTAGGCTAGCAATTGTTGTTGTTCAAATGTAATTAACACTGCCACCATTTCTTTACAATATTTTCTGTCTTTTCTAAACAGTCTCAACTAAATGTTGGTTAACTTTTTTATTTTAAAGAAGCTGCTATTCATTAGCTTCAAAATGCTTCAAAGTAAAAAGGAAGGAGCTGGGCGAGACAAATTAATAAACCAAGAATAGCCTCATGGTAGTGTACAAAAATTAGGTGCAGACAGAATTTAGAATTCAAAACCAACACACAATTTGACTATGTTGACCCACCTCCCAGCTCTTCTCCTCTACCATACTGGACAGTGATGACCGACTCCTCTGAAACAAGTACTCTTCACCCTGATTCTCAAACTTAGAATATTCCGAGCTTCCAAGAAACTATCAGTGGGAGGGGAAGTAAAGGAAAGGCTAAACTGCCAATCAGGAGGGAGGAAAGGAAAAGGGGTCCCACACCTTGCAGTGGTAAGAGAAGGAAACCATGAGCTATGCTCATCTTATACTGACTACTGTAACTTATGCAAAATTAAATAAAGAACCTTTTGTAATTAAAATCTATCCCCTCAATATGTACACCTTCTACTTAGAACAAACAAAGCTGCTTCTTGAGCTACAACAGCCAGAGGTGCTGACTACCAAGCTTGTTTTCCGTAACAAAACACATTTGAACATTCTTAACACATTCTGAATCCTACTGACACTCAGTTCTCTGCACAGAAAATGTGACAGAAATATAATGAAATGCAGATTAAATTAAAACATGTTAAACTCTAATCAAATATAGCCAATATACCGTATTTACGCATGTATAGTCCACGTGCGTGTATAGGCCGCAGCACAATTTTCAGACAGAAATTATAGAAAAAATAATTTTCTTGGAATATTATTTCAGGAGTAGAACACCCTGTATTACTAATTATGAATATAATTTTTTTTAAATGAAGTGTGATTTCGAATATAAGCTGCACCCCAGTTTTCCTCTTGAATTTTTGGCAAAAAATGTGCGGCCTATACATGAGTAAATACGGTAACTAAAACTTAACTAAAAGTATTACAAAATCTAAGCACTTGTAAATTGCAATAAAAATGTAGCCTTCCAGAGATTAGTCATAAAATATATACTAGTCACATCTTAGGTATATAAACAGTTTTATTGATTCCATTTAATAGAAAGTGGTAACAACAATTTAGGCTGTTGAAAATAATGCTGGTAATGTTGCAATCACTCATTGGCTACTGCAAACCCAATACGGTTCTTACCCATGTCAAATTCAGTGTAATAGCTGGAAATAAAACCAGCACCAAGAGACCACTGATAACCGTACGAACCATCGTAAGCAACAAATGATGACAGGCATACAGTAATACCAAAATGTGTCATCTGTAAACAGAAAATATTTTAACAAGTATAAATATATGGCAAAACAAGAGTGCAAGTCCAGACTACTTCATTTTGTTAGGAATATCCTATGCATTTACAAAGATACAGAACCATGTGGCAGGTCAGAAGGTACATTACCTGTTGCACGTAGTCCCTCCCTTTCATAGTGAAGTTCTTCCCAGAGATAACAAAGTTGATTTCTGGTAGCTTATGTACCAAATTACAAGGTACCTAAAATAATCACTGACAGTATTAATGAACAATGTACATTACAGCATCAGACCATGTTCAAAAAGGACTGAGATCCTAACAACATTGCTTGGACTTGAAAGACAGAAAAGACCGAAGTTTAAAGTTAAGCAAGCACAAAAAAGAAATACAAGAATTCAAACAATCAAAAAATAAAGATCTAAGGCAGAATGATCTGCTTGGTGTGCAGTCTGATGAAAAAGTAGGTATGAGTATGGACAATTCCTACTAAAGAAAATTTATTTATTCTTCCCACTTCTACCAAATATGGTCTAGAGGCAGTGCTGTAAACTTGTATCCAGTACGTGCTTGCATCAAATTTCAAATCGGAAACAACTATGAGGTTTTGCAAATGTGGGTTTTCCTGGTCCCTCCATCCAACTGTCAGGATGGTACCTCAATTAGGCCATAAATACTTCCTCACAGATCCTTTATAATCCGTCATTCATTACTCACCATACCATCTTACACTATACAGCCTAGATACGTACTGACTTACTTACTTAGTTAGTTAGTTATTTGAGAGGGCAGGTTTCCCCATGCACTTAGACCTGTAGTGCTTCCCTCTATGATTTCTACCAGTCTCTATATCCTACCGGTACTGGTGCTTACCATCAGTCCCGCCCAGTCAGCAAGACCGGCTCTACTGGCTTAGAAGTATCTATAATGCTTCCCCCATCTACCGGAGGTATTAGTGACTGCTGTTGGGCGGGAAACGTCCGCAATTTTGGCTCAGTGACCTCCTTTGGAGGTACGAGGTTCTTTTACATGCCGTAAAGCTACGACACGGGACCCACGGCTTAAAGTCCCTCCCAGAGGACTTGTTCCCTGAATTTTTCCGCCCTTAAAAATTCGACGACCTCCGCCGGGTAGGTTACCTCTAGACTACGGAGGCCGCTGACTTACTTACTTGCTCATGGAGCTGAGCCCTTCTGGAGGAGCCGCCAATTCTGCAGCTACTCAAGAATTTCCCAGCATTTTATGGAACCCGAAGGTTCATTATCATGTTCACAAGAGCCCTCCACTGGTCCCTATCCTGAGCCAGATCTATCCAATCCATACCATCCCATTCTATCTCTCTAAGATCCATTCTAATATTGTCCACCCATGTACGCCTTGGTCTTCCCTGTGGTCTCTTTCCTTCTGGCTTTCCCACCAATATCCTATACGCATTCCTCATCTCCCCCATTCGCTAGATACTGACAGTGCTGTTAAATAACCTACATAAAAATTTTCATTTATAGAATTCAACATAAACGCTGTAAATAAAGTAACGAAATATATCATTGTATGTTATATGAGAACATGGAAGAATATGAAATTTATTATCTTATGGTTACTGAAAGTATGTTTCATATTCTACAGTAGGCATCAAAACTGAAATTCAGAATTTTCAAGGAGTATCATACCTTATATCGACCAAAGATGGTAGTGTCTGCCATGATTAATTCGTTGATTTTTTCTATATCTTTACGTGGTCCAGAAATTATCGATGTGCCAGTGTCCATAATGACTTCACATCCCTTTTTACAGAATGAAACTGCTTTATGAACTGACACAACCAAATCCACTCTGAAAATAGAAATATTGTTAGGTATTTTGTTGAAGGTTTTGCTATCTGTCCAAACTTACCTACAGAATAATATAATAACAGGGGCATCTGGTAACTTACAGTATCAGGAAAGTACAGATTACAATTTGACAGTGCATACAAAGTTGTTTTCTTTCAAATATATGTCTCCCTCTGCAAGCTGGGTTTTTGAAAAATATAAACACTCTTCTTTTAAAGAGGAAATTACTAAACAGTTAATATCAAAATTGAAAGTATTTTTAGAGATGTATTCTAGTATCCAAAACATCTTGTCTTAAATCACTTAAACATAAGTTTGTAAGCCAATTTGCTGGCAATTCCACCCCAAAAAATCTCGTGGCAATGCCCATGACTGCTGGACATAACATTTCACTGACTTAATTCCTAGCACGGTGTGCATCTTATGCTATGGGGGCACTGCTCCTGTATGACCATTTTGATGGGACCAAAGAGTCCATCACACAAGAGCAAAACAGAGCCCACTGCATTGCCCAGATAGGTTTCTCATACACAGTATACAGAAAGTATTATACAGTATGCACCTTAATGAGACTGAAGAGTTTGATGGAAATGTGAGCATTGCGAGTCCTCCTACACATACTTACTGTTTACATACCTAGAGCTTAATAAGAAAAAGATTAAGGGGACAAGGGTGGGCTCACTACAAAGTCAGTTTAATGAATGTTACAACATTCTGATTGCTCCAGCCAGGGTTTCTGATATCATGTCTGAATTAATTATTAATAATGTTGTGTTTATATAATTTAGCCCTTCAAACAGTGCCAATAATTGATATCTAACAAATATTCTGACTGCACAATTTTACTTACAAAGGTTTCCATCCCACATTTAATTTGAAATAGCCCCATTTTCCCTCCAAGTAAAAAAGTAACTGCCCCACTGAAGAATATTTTAAAATGAATGCAGTCTTTATAATTGTTGCTTTAATTCCATGAATTCCATGAATCGGAAAGTTCCTGGACTGTTATTGTAACTGCCTCCGTGAAAGAAGATGAGAGGGGATACCAAGCTCACACATCCACAAGCCTATTGGATCAGTCTCCATGTGACATCACAGTGTGAACACTTACCGTTTTTATAAGAGTGCTTTTTCAACTTCAACAAGTAACTTGTCAGCATCAAGTTTCGCATGAAGCTTGGTAAATCCACTACCAAAACCCTTGAAATGCTTCGTGAGGCTTTTGGAGAACACTCTTTAAGCCAGACAGTGGTTTTTGAATGACATTCACGTTTCAAGGGCAGTCAGGTGTCAGCTGGAGATGACGAACATTCACGGAAACTGAGCACCAGCAAAATGACAGAAAATGTTGACAAAATTCAAGAACTCATCCACGAAGACCATCATCGAACAATCCATGATCTCGCAGACACAGATGGGATCAGTTATGGAGTTTGCCAGATTTTAACACAAAATCTCAACATGCGCCACATTGCTCCTTCATCGTGACGTGCTCACCCACGTCTCCCCACTCACTGGATTTAGCACCCCGTGTTTTCACTGTTTCCCAAATTGAAAATGAAACTGAAGGGATGATATTTTGAAACAGTCTCTCACATCCAAAGGGAATCGCAAGCAGTACTCGACAGCATTAAGGAAAATGGTTTCCACGGTGCTTTTGAAGTGTGGAAAAAGATAGGATTGCTGTATACATTCCCAAGGAGACTATTTTGAAGGAGATGGCAGCCAAAACTAAGATAGGCCAGCATTCCTTTTTTGACCTAGTCCAGGAACTTTCTGATAGCACCGCATGTTGTGTGTTAAATTTGCAGTCTTACTAATGAAACAGAAGTCAGGGTGGAATCCTTCTAATACAGGTTAGGGAGTAGGAAGATGTTCAAGCTTGTGTACCTATAGCTCAGAAACCAATACCCTAATGACACACACACATACTTAAAACATATTGTGTAAAAATAAAAAAATGCACAAATTATAACTCTTACAACACCAATATACTAATAAGAAAACAAATCATATGTAAGTCATACTCTCATACTATCAGCAAGTGATAGTGGTGAAGTGCGCTTGCTACAATCTTACCTATCCATATGAAACTGCCAGTAGGATTTCCGTGTAACAGGTACATAGGTGAAGCTTCCATTGTAGTGCTTTGGATCAGAACCACCAAGAAATAAATTACCACCTCTTGAAGATGTAATGTCTCTGAAAATAAACGAAATATGCAGGTTATTTAATAACATATTCACTTGGAAGAGTCAGCAGAAATATATAGAAAAATCTGATGCCAGTAAGCATGATGTGTTTAAGGCTGGTATTTATGTAATGCTATTTCCACATTGGAAATTAATAAATTGTAAATAATTATTTATATATGAGTAATATAATAGAATACAATATAATACAATAGAATGATCTCTTAAGAAATTAATTTCAATGGATAAATTCAATGATGAAAGCAATCATTCACTGGCAGACTTGATGTTCGAGGTTCCAAAATTTGGTTTGCTGTGTTTCACTGCAGTCAAAATTCATCAGGCATACCAAAGAAGACAATATTAACTTTTAACATACATTCTAAAGTAGGCTTATGAGATCTCCATGCTGTGTCTGTGAACACCCCCTCCCATTAGCTCCTGAATGCCTGAACCAATCTTTATGAAATTTGGTATGTATACCATGGTACCTGAGCCCATCTCATTTGCATACTTCATACATCCCACCCATCAGTCTGTGTGTTTACCCCTCCTATCATTCCTAGACAAAGGCTCAGTAAAGTGTACCTTTCATTGGTGATGTATATGTTAATGTGAAAATTTACGTGAATATTTAAGTTGGAAGTTTCTTTACTACTGGAGGGTACTGTTCACAGGTAAAGGGTCTAAAAAGACTGCACTGCCATCAAGACTAATGTTCTGGAACTTATTTTCATGCTGATACAAACTTACAGACTCTTCAGAAATTCTCTCACTCATTGCTGCAATATTCAATTGAAGTCAAACAAGCATCTGTTACCACATAGCCCAACATTTGACTTTGGTCTGCATCATTCAACTTCATTCACTGGGCTACAAAAATGCATTTTTATTGCAGTTCTCCCCATTTTTTAATTTAAAATTGTACTACTTTATAATGGGGGAGACAAGGAATGTGTATATTGGTGGGAAAGCCAGAAGGAAAGAGACCACAGGGATGACCAAGGCATAGGTGGGTGGACAATATTAGAATGGATCTTAGAGAGATAGGATGGGATGGCATGGATTGGATAGATCTGGCTCAGGATAGGGACCAGTGGAGGGCTCTTGTGAACACGGTAATGAACCTTCGGGTTCCATAAAATGCTGGGAAATTCTTGAGTAACTGCAGAATTGGCGGCTCCTCAAGAAGGGCTCAGCTCCATGAGTAAGCAAATACTATTTTATAAAAGTGGTGAGAAAATAATATGCAGCAAAAGGATTAATAACTTAAAGCTAAATATCAGACCTCAGACAAAACTTCTCATGTGTATGAATGCTCACATAATAAAACAATTGTAGTGTCAGATCATAATCACAAACTTTATGTGCTGTAGCTCTTGGGCTTACCTACTTTCTACATATTTTTATATTCTATAAATCTTAAACATAAGTGAAACAAATTTGTCTGACAGAAATATGCGGAAGGTACGTGGAAAGTAAGAAGTTTGTAGAAAGAAATATCAGAATATAAGTTACATTTAGTGGGAGTACAGGAGCTCAGATGGGACAGAGGTGGCACAGAGCCAGCAGGTGAATATACATTTTTCTATGGAATGGGGAATGAGAACCATAAATTAGGCACAGGCTCTTTTATACATAAGAATCACATCAACAGTTAAAGAGGGTAGAGTTTGTTAGTGATAGGATATAATACTAAGAGGTCACTGGTGTGATATCACTGTTCCAAATGTTCATGCTTAAAGAGGATAAAACTGATGATGTGAAGGACAGCTTCAATGAGGAATTAGAATGTGTATTCAATAAATTCCCTAAATACGAAAAATACGAAAATGTTAGATTTCAATGCCTAAGTAGGTAGGGAAGATATTATCAAACCAACTATTGGGAATGAGAGTTTGCACAAAATTAGTAATGATAATTAAGTTATAGTAGTAAACTATACCACACTGAAAAATCTGACTGTCAGAAGTACAATGTTCCCACATCCTAATATTCATAAATTTACTTGGACATCTCCTGACTGAAAGACTCACAATTAAAGTGATAGATAGGTGGTAGATAGGAGACAGCATTCAAGTGTACTTGATGTCCGATCGTTCAGGGCAGCAGACTGTGATACTGACCACTATCTGCTGGTAGAAAAAGTTAGGGAGAGACTGGCAGTGAGTAAACAAACAACACACACAGTTCATATGGCCAGGTTTGATCTAAAGAAATTAAACGAGGTAGAGGGTAAAGAGCAGTATTGTGTTGAAATCTCAAACAGGCTCGCTTCTTTGGAGAACATAAATACAGCTTGGGAAATCATTAAAGAGAATACAAACATTTCAACCAAAGAGAGTCTAGGATATTATGATTTGAAGCATAAGCCATGCTGTGACAAAATTATTAGAGCAACACAAACAAGCCAAACTGCAGTGTACTTCTTTTGGCTTATTTTGGACTTCACCCATCGTCTCGTATATAAAAGACAAAAAAACCACGACGTTTCAGAGACAGATCCAGTCTCCGAAACGTCGTTTTTTTTGTCTTTTATATACCAGATGATGGGTGAAGTCCAAAATAAGCCAAAAGAAGTGCAGTATACACCATCGTCAGAATCCTTTCAAGTCTAACCAAACTGCAGTGGTTTAATTCTATTTGGAATAAGGAAAAATTGCCTGGATCAGTGGAAGAAGTCTATTATTGTACCAGTTCACAAGAATGGTGATAAAACTGAGTGTAGTAATTACAATGGCATGTCACTGCTATCAACTTCATACAAAATTGTATCCAATATTCTTCCTCAAGGTGAAGTCCATACTGAGGTGTAATTATTGGGGCTCATAAGTGTGGGTTTTGACATAACAGATCAACTACTGATCAGATCTTTTGCATTTGTCAAATAAAAAGAAAACTAACTCTGTGGCCTGTAGTCCACAAGCAAACTACACCAACTGAGCGACCGCCGCTTGTCTGCAAAGTTAGTGCCGACTTTTTGAGGATAGAGGGTGTCACATGGTCAGCGCAATGGTTCCCCATGGCCGTTAATCTTGGGTTTCTAGACCGGGGCCACTATTTCCTTGAAACAGGTCCTCAACTGTTGTCACGAGGCTGAGTGGACCCCGTTCCAGACCCACTACTTCTCAGAAAATCTGGTAGCGCCTGGAATCGAACCCATGACCTCTGGATCTATAGCCAGGAACTATGACCAATAGACCACAGAGGCGGTAGCATTTGTCAGATACTGGAGAAAAAATTGGAGTACAATGAGACAGTACATCAGATATTCATAGACTTCAAGCAAGCCTATTACTCAGTTAAGAGGGACTGACCTCTGGATCTATAGCCAGGAACTATGACCACTAGACCACAGAGGCGGTAGCATTTGTCAGATACTGGAGAAAAAATGGGAGTACAATGAGACAGTACATCAGATATTCATAGACTTCAAGCAAGCCTATTACTCAGTTAAGAGGGACGTATTATGAAATATTCTGATAGAGTTTTGGGTACCCATGAAAGCAGTCAGGCTGATTAAAATATGTTTAAACCAAACGTATAGTAAAGTCCATATAGGTAAAAATTTATTCTATAATTTTCCTATCCAGAATGGTCTAAAACAAGGAGATGCTCTATCACCACTGCTTTTCAACTTTACTTCATATGCCCGTATGAAGGTCCAGGGAAACCAGGTGGGACTATAATTAAATGGGTCACATCAGCTGCTGGTCTATGCTGATGATGTGAATCTACTGGGAGATACCACAGATACCACAAAGAAAAATACAGAAACCTTAATTGATGCAAGTAAGGAGGATGGTCTAGAAGTAAACAGAGAGCAAACTAAGTATATGTTTCTGTCATGTCACCAGCATGCAGGGCAAAATCATGACATACAGATAGCTAACAGATACTCTGACAATGTGGCACAGTTCAAATAGTTGGGGACAACAGTGACAGTTCAAAATTTGATTCAGGAGAAAATTAAGAGGCTACTACCATACAGCCTAGAACCTTTAGTCTCCTCATATGCTGTCTAGAAACATAAAAATTAGAGTATACAAAAATATAATTATGTCTGCAGTTCTGTATGGGTGTGAAACTTGGTCTCTTGACATTAAGGGAGGAACACAGACTGAGGGTGTTTGAGAAAAGGTTGGAGAAAATTGCATAATGAGGAGCTTCATAACTTGTACTCTTCGCCAAGTACATATAATTAGAATGATCAAGTCAAGGAGGATGAGACGGGCAGGGAATTTAACACGAATTGGGGCATGCATATAGGATATTGATCTGAAAGCCAGAAGGAAAGAGAGAAGTAGAAAAACCAAGATGTAGGTGTGTGGATAATATTAAAATGGATCTTAGATAGGATAGGGTAGTATGGACTGGAGTGATCTGGCTCAGGATAGGGACCAGTGGCAAGTTCTTGTGAACTTGGTAATGAAGATTTGGGTTCCATAAAATGCTGGGAAGTTCTTGAATAGTTGCACAACTGGTGGCTTCTCAAGAAGGACTGAGCTCCAAGAAGTTATTAATATGTGGAAGAAAAGTTCTGACACATGCCCAAAAATATTCAATGAACAAAATGAAAATATGTTTCACGCTGGAAAAAATATACATGCATGTGTATATATGCTTTCTTTTAAATCACTCTTTTCTTGGTACTTAGTTGAATGGGTATTTGGTATATTCTATATACATTAATAAGATAAACAGTGGGCAAACATTTTTCAGTTCTGAAGTGGGCCCCTGTTGAAAGTACACCAGTTATTGTTAAGGTATTCACTCATTCTATCATTTTTAATCTAATGATTCTGGGGTCTATAAAATGTCAGTTCACTTCAATTGTTGGTAAAATTAAGTACCTATTTATGTAGAAAGAGAAAATGGGCTTTGCTACAAGTCTATTCTTCAGTATATTATAAAAGACAGGGACAACACCATCAACAGAGAATGAGCTGTATGCAAACCCAACTACACCATCTGCCTTTGACAGGAGATACAAATATGGAACATTCACAATCTCAGCAAATGTTTGGTTTAAGCTGAGGTGGGCAACCTGAAACAAGGAAATATAAACTTAACACTACTACCTCCTGACATAACAGCTACTGAACATTATTACAGTCCTGAAACCAAAGAATCATGCACTTGCAAATAAATAAATGCCTAATGTACATTATAAGATTTTTCATTGTCATTAAGCAATTCTCAGTATCCATAGCAACATACTGTCAAATGTTAAAATGTTGCATGAACATAAGTTATATACTGTAGCAGGACATGAATGAGCAAGCAGTTTTTTGATTCAGTGTATCATGTCTATTCTATGAGTGTTGGTAGTACCTTGATGAAGTATGCTGTATAAAGCAGATGATGTAGAAGTATTAACTGAGCATGTTACTGATGGGAAGTGGCATTAAATTAGCATTTCATTATTTGATAAATCTTTTATAGACTTTCAACACATGCCCTATTTAAGCACAGGGGCTTCTGAACTTCACCTTCAGTACAACAAATTACAGGATTTTGTGTAAAAGTTCATCTGCTTAAAGCAAGTATATGATTAGGCTCCTCATGTACTAACACAGCTTACACTCAAAGACGTACACACACATACCTACTTACACCTTCATGCATAATGCAAACACACACACAAATGAATTTTTGTTTCTTAATGTACCAAGACCAAAGTTTTGTCTCTGTCATTATGAACACGAAAATCGAACCCTCAGTGCAACCTATTTTTTTTATTGCTAGTGGAGTGGGACCAAGTCCCTTGTACTGCGGCCACTTCTTGCCTACTGTACCAGCCCCAGATGATAGGTGAGGGTACTTGTGGAGCAATTGGTGGAATGAAGATTGGCAGGGGAAACCGGAGTACTCGGAGAAAACCTACCCCAGTGCCACTTTGTCCACCACAAATCCCATTTGACCAGACCTGGGATCGAACCCGGGCCACCACAGTGGGAAGCCAGCAACTAACGGCTTGAGCTATGGCGCGGCCCTCAGTGCAACCTAACTGTAGGCTGTAGGATCGCTTACAAGCCAGGTGAAACTAATTTTGGATTAAATATAGCTCTTTAAGTTCACAGTGTTTTGATCGAAGTCCTGGTTAGATGCACGGTTAATGTGAACAATTTCATGTACAACAAAATTAAAAGTTTAAGGTAAAGTTGCCCTGTGCTCAATTAATTAAGCACTATGCCATGAAGGGTGAAGGGAGTGGATGTATAGATCCATATTTTCTTGAACTCGGCACTAGCTGGAGGTGAGTGGTCAGCTTCATGTCCTGGCCACTTTATCGCTGGAGAAAATCCACAGAACCCACTGGACAGGAGGCTTGGTGGGCCTCAGAGCCAGTCTGGATGCTGTAGAATAGAGAAAAATCTCTTGTCTCTGCCAGGAATCAAACCCTGGCCATCCAGCCCATAATCCATCATTATACTGATTATGCTATCCCAGCTACTGCAAAAATAGCTGAGCTCACACATGTTCATTAGCTGACTCCTGCCCCTAAGAGCATGGTTAAGTGTAGACACCGAAATTACTGTGGCAGCAGACAGACTGTTTCATCTACCTTATGAATAAATCTGATGATTTCTAGATAACCCCACAAAAAAGACAGCTTACACTTATCCTTTCCAGCATCACGCACAAAAGTGACAGAATATGAAATACCAATCTACTATTCAATGTAGTACTTCTGTATAACACTGTTACAATAAACATCTACATACTGTGGCATGGAAGGTAATCAAGTGGATTTTCTTTGGAAAGGGTAAAATGTAAGATACTCGCATGCTCTACATAAAATTTATCATTTTTGTCTATAAAATATTAAATAATACTAAAATGCCACAAATTTCATAGCAAAGATAAGGATATGAAAACAAGAATATCAAGATGATCAAAAAAATCATAACTCATGCATAATTCCTCAAAATTCAGTACTCACATGAAATATATCAGTTGAAAGGTAACCTAGCAACTGATCATTGCCGAGAGATATATTGAACACTGTTCCATTTTGTATATATGTTGTTGATTTCTTTGAATTATATTTATGGTGGAGTTCTGAAATATAAATTCCATACACAGTTAATACATGTCAAGAATCTTCTTCCATTTTTCATAAATAACTTTATGAAAAGATAATTAAGTATAACTGCCATAGTTGGCTATGTTACACACATTTGCTGATGAACATTTTTATATACAAAATTTGTGGTAGTGTAGTTGGTTGAGGCACTATGCTACAAGCCGGAAGGTCGCAGGTTTGAGTACGGATGAGGTGGATTTTTTCAATTTACCTAATCCTTCCAGCCACATTATGGCACTGAGATCGACTCAGCCACTAACAGATATGATTACCAGGAATCTTCCTGGGGGGTAAAGAATGGCCAGCACGTAAGGCTGACAACCTCACTGCCATCTGTGAGCCGAATGTCTAAAAAATGTGGGTACCTTTACATCTCACAAGCCTATGGGCCTCCACGGCCTGTTACAGGGACAGCTTTATACATTAAGGTTCACTTTAATATAGATAAACAGCAAAATGTAAGAAGCCATGAGTTTTAGTCTATCCCTTTACTGTATAAAGATCATTTCAATTTAATGCAGACCGAATAAGCACAGCCTTTCCAAAACACATGTGAAGTCATCTGTCAAGTGTATATACAAATTAATGACTACACAAAAAAATAAATGAAACAAATATATCAGTCATATTCAAGAACAGACTCTTGTAATGCATCACTTACGGCAGGGAACATTGAAAAAGGAACATTTCTTAGAAGGTATCCAAGTGTTGGACCAGGCTGTATCAAATGTGACATAAAATTTCTGAGCAGGATGCCCTATGCTGATCTCTCCATAAAACTCACTCTGTGAAAGAAAGAAGAAAGCCATGACAATGTCAACCGTTTCACATCTAAAGACATTAATTAATTTGTCCCTTTGCATTACAGATCCCCATGAGTTTGCCTGCCAGTTTGATATGTTATATTTGAATGCTTAGAGATGCAGATTTTGAAGAATTACATTAATACAGTTGCATTCTTCAAAGGGCTATACATGTTGTGCTGTAACAATTCCTTTGGTGGGGGGGGGATGACAAATATATCCTCGTGTTAAGGGTATTTTCATGCCCCTTATTTTTACAGTTCTGTTCCCACACAGAAAAGAGGTCTTGGCACTAATGGTGGGCAAGTTTCTTAACAGCCTTCATGAACTAGCAGCACAATAAGTATATTATTTTGGGTTATTTAGCTTAATTACCTCCATACGATGGGGTACCCAAAAGAAACCGAACTAATTTTTTTGTGGGCAGAGCTTTTGTAGTACCGCGTTTTGCCGCTATGAGCGCATAGAGCTAACATTCCTGAGTCGATAAGCCGACTACCGTTGCTTCAGAAGGTAAGGACTAGTTTCGGCAGAGTTTATAGTGACAACTGTTTTGTGTGATCGTCGTTTTTGCAATGGCTGATTTTCGTGAGCAGTGTGCGGCGAAATTCTGCTTTTTGCTCGGGAAAAGTGGAACAGAAACTCTTGAAATGTTAAAAACGGCATACAAGGACGATGCTATGGGGAAAACTCAAGTGTTTGAGTGGTTTTCCCGTTTCAAAAATGGTGAAATGTCAATTGATGACAAACCTCGTTCTGGTCGTCCTTCCACGGCCCGAAC